GATACTCAAAAGTACCTGAACATATTTGAAATACCATGGACAAATGTTGCCTACAAAGTTTCCAGTTACAGCTGTCCAGGTAAGATGACTGTACAATTTCCTTGTTATAATACTTAGACGGAAAAGTGAAAAACATGCTTCATAATTTGCTCATGGTGCAAAAAAAAGAAGATATAAGATATAATTGAGTTATCGTCTTTGTATTATCTTGTTTATCGAAACTTCATTTGAATGATGGAAATCTAAAATTAAAATTTCCCAGGTCTCATGTAAAGGAGAAGATATTTAGTTCAGCAAGTAATCTTTTTAGAACATTCTCACACAACACTAGGATTTCTTGGTACAGCTACACAAATACATCAGTTAACAAAAAAGCTAAAAAAGCTACGAAAGAGAGAGAAAAATTCTTGTCATGCAATGTGCCTAGTTCAGTTGACAAAAAAATTCAAGTGTTCCAGAGGCTGGCACAGTTGCTTTCTGCTTACAATAAAGATGATCTCAAGCATTAACAAGGACTTGCTTTTCAACCATAAAAAATTATCTGAAAAGAAGACAATTCTATGGAATATTTTGGAAGCAATCAACCGAGGGTCATAAACTGCAACTTGGTTTAAAAGAAATAAAATGCTCTGATTTTGAAATAATTGTTATGGAATAATTTTTGAAAGTGTGATATTTTTGGCATGCTTTTATCCTTGTCTATTTACACAGCATTTTATAGTAGAGTGACAATATCCCCACTTGCATTACAGTCGAGACAAAATTAAATCTTTGTGTTACAATTGAGGCGAAAGTGTTTTAATACTGTAAGACCATAAAAGAAGCAGATTTCAGGGTTGACATCTGGATTGCCCTACTGGATGATGAATTTATTCCTGCAAACACCTCATAGCATATGCTGTAGTTCTCTAGGGAGACCTCAGGTGATACAATTCTCATAGGAAGAATGCTTGTTAAAAATAAATATGCTAACTTCCAACTTGAATAAATATCAACATAGTAATATAGGAATGAGAGCTCCACAGTAAATGGAAAAGTAGTTTTCTCTTATTTCTTTCTATCAAGATAGTTTTCAAGAAGTAGCTTGAAAATCAATCAGACAAGCTCAAGGACAGAAATCAGCTGATCAAGAAATATAAAATAAAAATGAAGACTAATGAGATGCAAAAGAATATGCATGCACTCCAGAGAGAGATAATGTTCAGGCGTCTGTTCAAGTTTGAAGCAGCAAGCTATTCCTAAGCTTCTTCACAGAGAAAAGCCTAAGATAAATGTTCAGTTACCAACACATTAGATTTTTGCAGAGACCAAAATTAGGAAACGTCTGTTTCATGTACACAGACTAATGAAAAAGAAGGAACAATATGTGTCTATGAAGTTGATATACAACACTGTAAGAAAACAGCATGTTGCTTTGAAATGAAACTATGGTTTATACTGACAGAAATAAAAAGAAATTCCAGTATTTGAGATTTCTTATTATACAGATCAGAAAATGTTTTGTACTTGACGGAACTCCAAAAAGGAGTTGGCAAAATTTACTGTAGTATTATTTTTCCTTCTAATCACATGTAAACTGTGAATTTAACTGGTATTCCAAATCAAAGAAACAAGTAAAGGCAGAGGCGTAGCAGGAAGGTATTGGAACATAACAAGATTTCAGATGACACAAGACAGTGCTAGCAGACACCCAAACACACTGCTATCTGGCATCAGAAAGAGATCTATTGCTGTTGTCACAAGAGAAAAAAATGTTATATGAATTTCTCAGTTCACAGAAAATTAATAGGCTTAGTGTCATGCAGACTGGGTTTATCTATCAGTCACCAGCCTGTACAACAAAGAGAGGAACTTTTAGAGACTAACGACCATAACTACTAAGATTCAACAATTGAAACAAACAAGAATTAGAGGTTTTTATATCTATGGAGAAACCACGGCCTACTATAACTCCCACAAAGAATGACAATTAAAGCAAACACTGTGTACAACACATATAGGGTCTTCCTACCTGCAATGTAAAATTTACACTTTCATGAGTAGAACCATCTTTTTGGGAGGAACTACAAGAGGAAAATGAAATAGAAAAGTTCTCCAGCTAACACATAAATCTCTCCTAGCTTTTCGTCTTGTAGAATATGAAAAGATTCCAGCTCTTTATATCTGGTTCTCAAAACAGAAGGAAAATCCAATGCTCTTTCAAATAAAGAAAAAGACTGATAAAGATTGATATTCCATTTCTCCCCTTTTATGCCTAATATATTACTCTTTGGCAGTCTTTTCAACAATTCCTTCTTAAAGATTCTCAAACCTTTTAGTAATTTCTTCACCTTTCCCTAAATATGACCATACTGCTAATTACTGAGTGAAATCCAGGTAGAACAATGGTGTTTTCCATTTTCAATGTACCAACCTCTTACACTCCAACACTGTTTAGAAGACGTGGTGAAACATTCAAATCACAAAACACTTGACAAAAAAATGGGAAGTTTAAACTTAAAAATAAATATTCTATACTGAATACTCTGGTGAGCTGTAATTATAAAACATCATATTGTAAAAGACATACTAAGTACTGCTCCAAACATAGGTACACCTTATTATGAAATACATAGTAATTATTATGAAACACCGGTAGTTAAACATTCATTATGAAAGGATTGTTATGAAATAGAAATCTTCTTAATAAGACATTCTAGGTGGAAGCTATTAATTTAATGGCATACAGTCCAACAGTTTCACAACACCAGGACTGAAAAATACATCAGCTGTGCAATACCTAACATATAATGTGTGCTGAAAATACATACCACTATGCTGCAAAGTCCTCTTCACTACCACACTTCAAAGTATCTCTCTTTACATGACAGATACATTTTGTGAATTGTATTTGCAAAAAACTCTTTCACTTTTGAATAACATTCTTCTCTCTGTTTAGTATTCAGCAGGAGATTTAATTTTTAACTTAGACCTGCTTCCCTATATGAGGGATAGTGTTGGAAAATGCTATCACATACTATTAAGTCATTCTGTATTATTAATAAAATCTGTAGATTGTCTTACATAATCCTACATCTTTTATTTCTAAATGTGTTATCAATATTTGATTGTACAAGTTAAGAATTATTGAAAATCTCTAGATCTGAAGGCTAATATAAATTTAGGTGTAAAAAAGGTATCTTATACAACTTTACAAAAACCAAACCTCTGCTCAGTATAAAACATATTTCATATTGCTTTACAATAAAGATAATGTTTCCAATTATATGAGGAATTTATGGTGCTGTCTACAGAAACAAGTGAAAAAAAATTTCAGCAGTATTGTCTACTATCTAGTGCTTCTGTATAAAAATAAACATTATTTCCAGTTCTACTAGAGAGCTCAAGTGGCTGAATTGCTTAATTAAAAAAAAAAAAAGGGCTTCAAGACAATCTATTTTTCCTAAAAAATATGTCAAGACACATTTTCAAAGCACAAGTAAGAACTCAGCCATACAACTCCTACTAACATTAGTGGGAGCTGTCTGTCAAAAGCGCTGTGCATCATGCTGAATATGTCCTTCAGTAATAACAGTAGGGTTAAAACTTTTGGACATACACATAAATATTTTACATGAGGCATTTCAGAAGATAAGTTGTGATTTATGCTCAGCTGTGCTCAGATGTGCTTTCAGAGGTATCTGTATCACAGGAACACCTCAGAAATGAGTGTACTCTCTGGTTATATAGTCCACTAAAATCTACTGTTCTTTCAAGAAACTTTCATCATAAGTCTTGCTCTTTAAAGCAGACTTTTGAAGAAGGCACACAGCAAAGTTATTCATTACACATTATGTTTCAGTGTTATCTATATTACTTTAACAGCTCATGTACTTCATGAGCTAAATTACTTTTAAGCTGGTTTCTGAAAATATTGCTTCTCCCTAGTAGAGGAATGATACAACTTTCTAAAATGAAACAGAGAGTATCAAAGACAGATGGAGAATCCTGATACTAACTACAGCACAATATAAAAAAGAAAAACATGAAGATTCTACTGTGAACCACAGAATGAAACCATAGGAATCTCAGGACTGAAGTGAGATTGCATTATCAACTCAAACAAAAAGACCCCACCATATTAAGAAATAAAAGACATTATAGTTTATATGCATTTGATTAAAAAAAAATTACAAGTGACTACTAGGAGGAATCTGCAAAAGAGGTTAATTTATAACCCCAGGAATCGCAGATTTACTATTCTGATTGATTTTATTTTGTTGTCACAACAAAAGCCAAAGTTACATGTAAGACTACTTCTACGAGCATCTGGACTCAGACTTAATAAATTAACAAGGAAAATTTTTTTTTTCTGCTTGGCTATGTTGAAGAAAATATATAAAATCAATTTATAATTTAATAATTAATGTATTCAGCTCCTTAATTTCAAAATCTCAACTAAGCTTCCAAATATATTCCACTCTGAGACTTTAAATTCTGTGAGGTATCTCAGGGATAGCATATAATTAAAAAAAAAAAACAAAACCAAAAACTACCTACTGTTACCCTACTTCTAAGATATTAATCTACATAAACTGTTTTGTATAGAGGTAGAGGCCCAGTTTGGACATCTAGAATTAACATGGGCAACTAAGTACTCAGTTTGAGATTAAGCACCATAGCATAAAAAGAAATTGGGCTAACAAAATAAATCATGTCAATTATGTTTCTAAACACAAACATATCGGGAAAAGATATTTTGAAAACTTTCTAGTGTTTCTAAATTTGTTAATAAAAGAAGAAAGCTAGCTAGCATACTCAGGACTTAGTGACATAAACTGGAGACTTAGTATGGCAGTGGAGAATATTAATAGTGAGAACCCTCATCATTAATTATTCTTCTGTACATCATGAAGTTTAAATATAAGAGTATGAAAGAAAATTTTTGTGACTTTTGACAATTATTAGTAAGAAAAAAATGGTAACAATTGCCAAAAAAATCACAAAAGTTGACATGTTACCTGGCTATGACAAAGAGCACACAACTGACACCCAAGTAAGCCAGCAGAATATACATCCAGATATCAGGGGAGAGAGGATTCAGGAAGGAGAAGACGCCCGGGTTTGTACCATTGGGCTTGCGGTACAAAATACTTATTCCAAGAGTCATAAAGGGCTTGGAAAAGTCGATGACCTTCTCACGAACATAGGTAATTGCCAAGGGTGCAACTGCAAGGTCAGCTTTCTGTTAACAGAAATACAAAAAGAGAAACAGGCCATAAGTCAGAAGAAACAGGTTTAAGCAGACAATCAAATTATGCAAAACACAAACTGTATATGGAGGAGGTTTGTTCTTGTACTATGTAGCCTGAAATTTAAAACTCTCTTTTCCCTGTGAGTAAGGAAATAGATTTATTCTACCTCCTCTTTCCTAAACTGACATAGCAGTATTTAGAGAAAATTAAAAGCACTATTAGAGGGGTAGAAAGGAAGGAAATTGTTGCATCTTGCAGAAAACATGGACATACATTATCACATATTTTAAAACTTTTTCAAATGTACATTTCAACATTTGCCTTCTCTTGTCACTGCTTCACTGTGCACTTTAGAAGCCAATATATTTGTGAAGCAGATGTGAATATGCTTGTACAAGTGTAGGGAAAAAGCAAAGAGGCAGTTCTTCCTATTTTAGCATAAAAGAATTGCTACAAAATGAAGAGCATTTTAAAATTGAAAGTGCTACACCTGAAAGGCTGGTAAGTTCTAACAAAGTACAGCTGTTCTTACTAGTTTACAGGAATCACTACAAAACTTATAGGTAGCTATTAATCAGTTGGAGCATTTAAAACTAAATCACATGATAGAATGCATTTTGTCAATTTCCATTTAATTTTAGTTATTGTGGCAATAATTCATGGATTAGTGAATAATCAATACTATTTTTTTAATCAAAATTGAATGGAAATCATAGTGACAAGAAACCTACAGCATCTACTACTCTGTCAACAGCTCTTGAAATACTCCTGTGTATGTGTGTATGTGTGTGTGCATGTGCACATAGGAAAAGAGAAAGTTCAGAGTGAGAAATTGTACAATACGAGACTTGGAAAGTGGTAAACTAAGAATTTTTTGTAAACTATATGTAAATATAGATATGTAATGACAGAAATTATATGGCTACCATGGAAAACTCTTGTCCAAGTAATGTATCTCTGTAACATAGCTGCATATAACAGCATTTTCAGAATGCCTGTTCTAAACCAAGATACAGAGATTTTATTCCCAATAATATAAATTCATACATTTATGTATTTTTTGCTCAGTTGATTTTGTGCATACTGTGTAATCCTCAAAATCCCACACAATGTTGTAGCATTTCAGTGTTTCCTTTATTTTTGTTGTCTCACCTTACACAAAGTTCTGCTATGGTCTATTGATGTTATGAGCATTTATGCAGTTAGATCTACTGTAGTTAGTTACAATGTAAAACACTGTTGACACTGTTCATTTAAGTTGGCAAGGGTTTACTGGTCAAAAAAATTATATGCACTTCATTTCCATTGGTATTAAGAACCTAGAGGTATTAATCAAACCAGCAAGGCTTTATTCCACAGTGGATGACTTTTTATAGACTGTGTATTATTGATGATATTTGAGCTGGTGCAGAAAAAAAACAGTAAAGTAAGAAACTTAAATTAATTTGCATTAAAGTCATCGATCAATATGTAGAAATTTGCAAAACATAACAAACTATGTGAAGCAAATAGCAGATCCTAAGAGTCTGAAGCCAATTCACTAGAAACTGTCAGCAGATGCAGCTGGACAAAGACAGAGAAAACAGATCTTTTGGAAGGCTATTGGTAGTTATGAATTTTGGTTTTATATCTTTAACAGAATCTTAGTGAGTAACAAATCATTTCTTTTCAAAAATACTACAGGAAATCCAAACTTTGGTCATTGGAAACAAAATCATATACAACTGAATATAAGTTATAGCTATCTCTAATGGAGCCAAGTTACAGATGAAATTAGAAAAATAACTGATCAAGAAATAATATGTCTCATGTGACAGAACAGGACAATCAGATATCCCAGCTTGAGACCACAGATACAAAATTTATGCACATAACTTGACATCTCAAGATTCTCTTCTGAGCTTTAGTAATTCAGTTTCAATATTCTTGAACTAGAATATTACTGTAAGAAGAAAAATTAAGCATCTGACAAAAAGAAAATCCAGAACCTTTACTACCTGAGGAAAAATAGCTGCTAGAAATACTGACTTAAAAATGTAATGTTGCCACATGTAACCACTTTTGTTAATACATATTATGTCTGAAATACTCAATTCTCCTGGTTATTGTTTCATTCTGAAAGCAGCACTACTTGAAAGTAAGAGAAATCAGGAGCCGTTTCCAGAAATGCAGTACCAGGATCTCCTACACTTATATACAACAAAAAAATACAAGAGAATTTTCTGTTCTTTATTTCTCAGTATGAATTGGAGAGGAATGGTGTAAAATTAGGATTTTATCAATCTACATTTAAGAACATTAACAAATTAGTACATTCTAAAATGGCTTTCTGATAAGTTCCATTTCAAAGAATATTTATCTCACTTGGCAATGATTGATGATTCCATTTTTTAGAATGAACGTATGCACGTTTCTATTCTTCAGAGGAAAAAAAAAGGTTTATCTATCTGAAAACACAATCTTAAATAGTACATATTCTTGACCTTAGAGTTCTTGAAATAAAAGCCGTTTTATGATAGCATCCAAGGACTAGTGACTATAAACTAGATGCTACAGAGAAAAATTCTGTGCCAACTAAAGGTTACAACAGCAAGTAGAAACAAGTAAGTCTGATGAAAACATTCCAACACAAGGTGCAGTCCTGAGCAAAATGAAAGTGTTGTACAGCCATACTATGTGCTGAAGGACTGCACTGCAGACGATAATTTGTGGTTGTGCATCTTTTCCCTTCCCACATTGCACCACCCCCCTCTGTGAACTCAGGACCTTCTGATAAGCCTTGACCAAACTAGCTGAAGGGTGAAGCTTCCACTGGTCATAAAGTGTCCCTTGGCAGCACTAGGACCTCTTGCATGGTACATGTGGGAACAATGGACCATAACAGCTGCCTGACCAAGGCGGGGACAAAGGATAAGCATTTATCTTCACAGCCATATAAAGCCTCTCTGTTTTGCTACTGTTTGCAGTTGTGAGATGTTCATTTGTTAACAAACAAATCAAGGTATCCCTGATTTATTTTCTGCTACAGAAGTGCCTATACCTGGTTTAAACCATCCTCCTTTGCTACTTCATTTACATTTTACTTCCAAGCAGCTTGTTGACTATTTTACATAAAGTAGTATTCAAAGAAAAAAGGGAGGACATTTTTTCATTTTTACAAGGCTGAAATTTAGTACATAACCTCGAAGAGGACAGATTTTAAAATTACACTCAATTCAATCTATGCATACAGTTACAAATAACTTCAGCAAGAAATCTGCAAGTAAATGTGGCGTAGTGCATGGTCATAGCATGGCATGCTATGTAAATGGGTATTTGCAGATATTGATGTTTTGTCTGTGAAAATTAACTCTGTAAAATATAACCCAGATAAACAATCACATTAATTTGAGAGGAAATGGAATTTTGGAAGCATTTTATGGCTTCTACTAATAACACTGGGGAAGGGAAGTACAAACACAGATTGTATTTTCTTTTGATGATAATTTTCTGAAAAGCTTTTGTCTCACCTATTTTACTCGAATGAAGAATTCAAATACAATCTAAACATGGAAACTGTAAAATGGCTAATAGTTATTTTTAATTAGACTCTACAACTACAGAATATTCAGCTATAGTAATGGAGTTTTTTAGCTAACGTAAATGGAGTCTTCCAGTAAGAATTTTGCTGCTAACATTTTGCATCAATGTAGCAACTGTGAATGATTATATTAAAAATGCAAGTGGAGTCATACACTATCTATCTGAGTTGTTTATACAGTCAGTACAATCATATTGTAATTGTATAATATACACAAAACTACACATATACTGAAAATGCATTTTAGTAATTTTACTTCTATATAGGCAGCAATACACTTACTGCTAGTAATTACTTTTAAAAATAAAGGAATATACTTTTTTAAAAGGAAAAATTCATAAGGTTTCTGTTTAATCCACTATGCCACTTCAGCTTAAGACCCTAAGTCAAAAGTAAACTTCTTCAGCTACCTCAAATTTTTGGGATTATTAACCTGAGAGTTGAATTTCAGTTACATTCCCTTTGGAGAAAATGCAGCCTTAAGATAAAAAGAGGAAGGCTAAAGCCCAGCTTCAATTCCTTAAATCTGTCTAACAGACTCAATGCACAGAGAGCTTATGCATTATTCCTGTTCATAGAAGTGCATTTCCCTGCCAATGATCTAAAAAACTAAGAACTGTAATTTGCTTTTAAGCTTACAGTCTATCTTAAACTGCCTTGTTCATGCTGCTACATTATAGAAAATGCACCCTGTGACAAGGTTTTGTTCTTGCCACAAGATCTTCATTTCCTTTGAATCCACTAGGATTTTATGAGGAAATTATTGCTAGTTTTAGTTTAATTAGCCACTTACATTACTTTGACATTAATTTTTTTTCCATTATCTTTCCAAAAATCAACATATAATTCAGGTGGGAAGAGACATCAGAACATTTCTGTTCTAAGCATCTACATGATCAGACCAGGTTGCTCTGGGCTTTACTCAGTCAGTGTAGAAAACCTCGAAGGATGGCGACTACCTAACTTCTCTGGATAAGCTAGTCCACTGCTTGTCTATCCATGCAGTGAAAAAGTTTCTACAAACAAGCAGTGGAGCAGGTTGTTTAGAGAGATCATGCAATTTCCACCCTTGGAAGTTCTCAATATATGCTTGTTGCCTTTTGGCTTCCTGCCAGGTTCCTCTGAGAAAAACCCAGATGAAGCTTCTTGATAATCTCCTCACAGGTCCTGGAAAGCAGCTACTAGAAATTACTATCTTTGCCAAATGTGAGTAGCATACCACAAAGTACAAAAAATGTCCCTGTTTGATAGCTGAATTTAGATGCCATACCGTATTTGTAGGATCCTGACTTTTGTAATTTAAAATTAATTGCTAACAATATCAAATATAGATGGAACAGCAGTTAGATGGAATAGCAGTTGTTACTTTATTAGCATAATAAAGTACTTTAACATAAGAAAGTGACGTCT